CCCTTCTCCTCCCATCCACAGCTTGAGTTTCCCAATACTTCTCCTTCCACGTCTACCTATTTGCTACTTTTAAACACATTATGAAAAGAGACCATTTAATTATATCGCCATTTAAGAGACACCTTAATCTGTACGATATTTCAAAGCTGAATTGTTCACTCATCTACACAGGAGATATTATTCGCCTGAGGAATCTATAACAAGGTTACCTCTCACTCGGTGTTGCCTCAATTTACTGCATCTTATTGGCGTCCCAATAAAAAAAAATGGCGTTTAAGCAAATTACTCACATTTTTCTCTCACAATCCACAATTGAGATCCTAGCCAGTTGAAGTCATCGCTGCTGCACACTGTCCTCTGATCGAGTGGTGACGTGCGGCTGCACACTGCAATCCTGAACTAACAGTCGCCTTTTCCATTGCTATTGGTCAATACTTTTGGTAGCGTAGCCAATCAGTGCGATGTGTTACTACAATTCAGCCAATAGTAATGCTTGCATTATTTAATTGGTACACATGATCCACACAGGAGAGTCAACTACACGTCCATGGATGTGATGGAACTCAATTGATATTCTTATTGGGGAGCGTTCATTCTCAAGTCTATGATGCTACATTATGAGTTGTGAACATGAATAATAAAGCTGCTGCAGTGTTGGTCAAAAAAATCGGTTTTGGGAGTACTGCCGAATTACGATGACGACAAACTCGTTTTTACATTGTTATTAGCACAAGGGATTTTCACATCTTTTATCTACTTTAGCATGTGACAGCCTCACGGAATAAGTAGTCTAGAATTTCGCTAGACATTATGAAGGGGGATGAAGCTTCAAGCTGCCTCAAGCGAGCTTTACAAGCAGCATGACAGTCAACAAACACCAACATCATAGCAATGGATGTTTGCAGCTTGCACAGCCAGAGAAATGTGTGCCATGACCTGCTTTTTCCTCTCGCAATGTTCACTTTTATGAGACCGAGTATGACCTCAAACCCGTGCCCAATTCACTTAAGGAACATGCATTCCAAGTCACATTCCTAATACACGAAACTCACAGGCACAGCATTCAGCTCACTGCTTCCGACAAAGCGTAACATCACCATACGAGCAAAAATCTTACCTTTTCTCCTGTTTGCATTTAGATTTTGGCTTCTGTCCGATGATTATTCTGATCCAAAGGCCGGTCTGCGTGTCCGACTCAAGAATGTCGACGCCTTAAGGAGAGCTACTACTTTTATCATTGCGTCATCTAAAGTGTTTGCATTAGTAGACTCTTTCAATATAAACGATTCTTCGTTTTGCTAAATTAAAAGTGAAAGAAAGCCCAACAAAATCCGCGAATTTATTCTTCCTCTACTTGACATCGTGCCACCTTGTACACTCAGTGAGGGTGTTGTTCACTTCTTAAATTCAGCCAATTCAGGACTGAATTAAATCTTGTGATAATTTGCACTTGAGATGTGATTTTGAATTAAAATTCCTAATTCAAAATGAGAAATGATTTGGCATTATCGTTCCAATTCAGACGTAACAAAACTAAGCCAACAGGTATTGTCTTTGTTTTTGCTGAATATCGTGATTCGGACTACAGAAGTAAGTCATTTGCAGGATACTAAGATCTGTCTGAGATCTGTCCGTATGGACTGTCTACCATAGCACGGAATCGTTGTAAAATATAAGCTCATCATTGAAACGGCATCAAGCAGATGATCTTAGCCAGAATATTGAAAAGGTAAGCAGAATCTGGTGAATTATAAGCAGGAGTTAGGCAAATAGAACTTCAGGTAGAGAGGCAAGCATGAAAAGTGTATTTGAAAGGAGCGAATGCCATATATATGAGACACCTGAATTCAACTAAGCAAATTATGTGGTTATGCATAGTTACAAGATGGCTAAATTGTGCATCACTCAATCAGCATTCATTTTTGTCGATTGGTTTCATTTTATGAAATGATGTAGGCAGTAGACAAATTTAGGCAGAATGTGTGAAGAGTGGAGACTATATTGGCGCAAAGTGGTCTCTTCTATAAACCACTTGCGTATTTTGTTATAATGTATAGGCAATGAAAAACAGTTAAGCCCAGTAATTCCTTTGTTATGCAAAATTTGTGCCGCATGTGTCAATGCAGACGTCGAAGGACAGGATATACATGGAGATTTTACGACGACCCCTACATGGTGACATCTGAAGAGCTACTCTCACTAACTCTGTTAGCATTCCACTTTGCATAGGGATCTTAGGCTCTTTGAATTTTATAACCAACTGCGGTGGTTAGATACATAATACCTCTTCTTTCTGGTATTCTGATAATCGGTGTATGAGCCAGCGCACGCTCGGTGTGCACTCTGGGTACCGGCAGATGTGAAGTGGCCACTTATCTCCTTTTAGAGGTGTTTGGCACCGTCACGACAACATGCCTTTCCAATCGCTCCATTATTTTGCATCACTTCAACTCACGGACCTATGCCAACTGTGTAGGAGTTAAATCACCAGCAGGTCTCGGGAATCAGTGCCTCAAAATGTTGAAATAGTCTATTCTAATGAGAGATTACCTTTACGCAGAGGATCAAATAGGTCCACATGGATTCGTGACTTATCAAGTAAGTATTGTATTAGAAGAAACTAACCTCAAGAAGTATTCTAACAAGTTTAATGCCAGGAAGCGATATTCACGCTTTTCTCTAACCTTTTGAAGATATAAATGGGCCTGTGAATTGTGCATATCTTATCACTAACATTTTCGTACACCGATGCATACGGTTTATTATTTTGCGAGATTTCGTGGCAACATTGTGGTGCTCTACGTGTTTCCCAACAAAAAAGTTCATATATTTAAGAATAAATATTTACCTACTCAGTCCTTAGAAATTCGAATGTCGAATCTAAAACAAGTACACTTTGGAGATGTGACACTGTCTGCTTTCATTGGATCTTTGGCACCCTAACCTATTTCGGAAGGTGTAAGAAATATTTGCTCAGGTAGACGTAGCTTAGCTAACTAACCGCTGGCATTTGGCTAGGCTGGACAACCCGAGGCTTGAGCAGAGTAATCACTGTAGCAGATAGTTGTTTTGCACACCCTGCAGATGAGGTGCATGCAAGCGAGGCTTCAAATGCTTCAATTTGGAAAACTACTTCTTCTCTATCTCCAGCTACACCCACAAGTGCATCACCTCTCGAGAGGTGAGAGAAGGCTTTTACCAGTGGTATTTTGTACAAAATGGCTATGTATTCGTGAATTCCGCGTTATCGGATCTAACTGCAGCGAAAGATCAATGTGATCTAATATGATGGCAGCATAATTCAAAAGTAAATAAATGCCTTTGATTAGAAATAAAGCGGTTGCCGATAGGTGGATACTGTCACTACATCACTGTGAGGGATGTAGGCACTACAAAAAAGATGTGTGATATAACATCGGATGAAATTTAGTGGTGGTTCACTTGCCATATTTACCATCTATCTCTGTAGTGGTGCCATGTGAAGGCAATTCCTCGTCTCTTATAGATAACACACTGGCATTCTCGTTAGCTGAGGAATGATGCAACTGGCACGAGAAATTATGTACACCCGTCTACTTACATTAATTCACTCAAGTTGTAGATAAGTGGCTTTATAGAAGTGGAGAGAGACGCATGGTAGTCAGCTAGACTATCAGATCGCTTAATTGATGGGCCCTCGTTTTAATCATGTGTGTGCCAACCATAATCGGGCCAGCATAACTACTAGCTGAATTGTAGCAACGCGTCCTACTGATTGGTTGCACCACCTTGAGAATAGACCAATAGAATTGGCAGAAGTGCCTGCCATTTTGGAAGTGTGATGTGAGCCACACACTGCCACTTGATCAGAGGAAAGTGTGCCGAAGCAATGGATACAACTGACGCGGATCTCATTTGCGGAGTATGCACACAACTGTGAGTTATTTACGTAAAATGTGACTTTTTAATGTGGCCCTGTCAGGTGGTAGTAAAACAAGGTAGTGTTTTTTAATGAGGTCAATGGACTAATAATAGTTCATCAATGGCACCTTCACTGAGAGTTTTATATCCTAAGCAGAAACGGCTCATAGAATAGCTTATAATTGAACTGATACTGTCACTGAGAGGTCATTGTCATGGGTGAAATGTGAAAGTCGGAAAGTGGAGTGCCCCATTAAAACGTAGAGATAGAAGGTAAGGCCTTTGCGAGGGCACAAATAGCAATAAATAAGGTGGGGCAATGCATTAAGTGGCTTCTCGTGAACCGGTATCAAATCACTTCTGTGTCTTCAGCGTCTCAATGCCTGGTACACTTTTTCATTCTAAAGTTCATTTTCACGGTTGTGTCAGTGGCGGTAGATTGATAAAGCCAGACTGTTGAGACCTCGGTTCACTTACTTTGTTTGTGTGTGT